CGTAGCTCACCTGCCTTCTCTGTTTCTCACCATTCTGCAGTGTGGTTCCCCAGCTGGCTCTTGAATAATTATGGGGAACCTGGCTCCGCTGGTAGAGCATTCTGGAATTAAGGAGTAGCTATAACAAACCCTATTATTTGCATTTTTTGTCCCAAATCTGGGAGTAGTTCTTGGCAGGTTCTATCTTGTGCAGCTGTGCTATCAAGTGTGGTGGTTTAGGATTATTTAGTGCTTCTGTTGTGCTCTGGTCTTTGGTCTATAGTGCAGAATGGCTTCTTACCAGTAAAGCCAGAGCTCACCATTTTTGCTTGTTTACTTTGTTTCCTCAGTGTTAGTTTGGAAAAGAGAATACGAGGCAGTTTGGCTTCTCACCTGTGTCCATCTGGACATTTGCTCCATTAGGGGTAACGAAGCTCTTTCCTCGGTTCTGCCCAGGACTGTGCTGATGTAACCACTCTCTCCAGGGGCCTGGCAGGTCTGTGGAGGCTGAATTACGCACACACAGGGTGCGAGGCCTCTACTCAGCGCCAGATGGGAGAATAACACTGGATCTGCCCACACCCGGTTTTCCCTCTTCCTTTTAGGAAAGCTCTGCTTTCCTCAGAAATTGTCCATGTCCAGACAGGAAACTGGAGTTTCTGCCAAAAATCCCTGAAAGACTCGGCGCAGAAAGTTTGCAATGGGCTGGATTCCTCTGCTTGGGGGATACGGATGAGCACTGAGCGTTCTGGGCCACCGTCTGGGCCATTGTGACTCTCAGAATGCTAAGCAATCACGTTATCCTCTTGGCGATGGGGGAAAGCTCGGAGGAAGCGCAGCTGCGAGGCACTCCACCCTTCATGTTCTCGGTTTGTTCTTCTCTGTAACCAGCAGGCACCATGGGGACAGCTGGCAACCAGCCTAGGGTGCTGAAATTGCCACCCCTTGACAAATGCCAGAAGCTGAAAAATTATGCCCACTCTGATGTCCTGTGTCACACCTTTGAGACTCTGTCTAACCTTCACAAGCTGCTTCCAAACCATCTGATGGAGCTGCTTCATTCCTACAAGAGTGAAGAGGACCAAAAAAAATGTATGTGGGTAGAGGGTGGGTGTGGACTTTTTAGTAACCACACTTTATCTCGATATAAGCTGCCTCTTCTTTTAGCCGTGACTAGGGACTGACTCTTGACACGGTCAGTGTGCTCAGTCCTTGAGGCCTGCGCCCCGTCGTGTGCTCAGGGCTTACTCTGGAACTTGCCCGTGCGCTGACTTAACCATCACTTCTTCATGCTCCTTTATTTAAAGAGTCTTCTGTGAGCCAAGAGAGGCCTGTCCCTTTTCTTTAGGCAAAGTATACCTGTGGGAAGACAGAAAGGGTACTGCGTGGAAATGCCACTACATTTACAACTCAAGCTTTAGATTTGATTTTAAGATCAGGAAGGGAAACTTCAACTTGAAGGTCAGGTTTTGAACTTTATTCCTTTGCTTTATTTCCTTCTATTCCTTCCTCCTATCGCCATGACTGTACCACCCAAGGAAGAAGATGGAGATTTTATGCCCCCCTGAGGATTATAAGAGACCTGTACTTTTTGTAGTTTGGGGTGGCCTGCCGCTCCTGAAATTCCATCAGGGTAGTTGATAATTGGGCCACTTTGTAGAATTGGGTGGAGCCTGCCTCCTGAATTGTTCACGCTTACGTGGTGGCCACCTGGGCCCATGAGCTTAGAAAACAAAACAGCAGCTGCCACGGTGACTAAGACACAGTCGTGGGGACAAAGGTAAGTATTGGTGTAATGATTTTAAATCTCTATGGGACATTTGGCCATTTGTGTTCTGATGAATCTCTAAGCCCTGAATCCTGAGTAGTGTGAATCAATCCTAATGTCTAGATTACATTACAGATTACATAAAGAGTCCTTATAAATCATCAAGAAAAATATAAGCAACCTAATAGAATGGATAAATGTGTGGACAGGCAATTCACAAGACTTAACTACAAGTTATCGATAAGCATGACACATGTTCAAACACTCTGGCCATCAAGGAAGTAAAAGATAAGCAAGGAGATATTTTTAGGCCACCATACTGGTCAAATTTAAAACGATCAATAATGAAGAACATGTGGGCTGGG